ACGGCAAATGAATTATCATTTTAATTATCAGTCCAATAAACACTGTTTTTTTTTTTAAATTATGACTCATTTTTGGCCTATTTCTAGTTTCCTTTTTTGTATTTTATTAATGCATATCTCAAGTTTCCATTTATAAGTGCTATATTTGCTAATGATTTTATATTGTATATCATAGATTTTAACAGTGGTAGAGCAACGCGGAAGCTTTTGCTGTCGCACGGATGGGCTGGCTCGAACCGGGGTGGTACCACGACCTCACAGAAAACCAGCGTGAAGTAGAGGTTTACCTCTGCGTTTCGCTTGGTGAGTGCAGGTGGCCGGAGGCCCTTTTTACTAGAAATGAGGCATTCCATCTTAGTCCTCACGGGTGACAACGCATCTACATTTTGATTTGTAATAGAGGATAGATGTAGATGTCTATGGGCCGCAGCAACCACTTACCATCAGGTGGACTGTGTGCTCGTTTGTCACCCTTATCCTATAAAAAAAAACAGTAATTTTATTATGTATATAATTGTACCTGCCATAATATGTCATCACATCACGAGTTGATAGGCTGGATATGAGATGTGATCCTTCACTGCTGGCCGTATAAGGAAGCTCAAGGTTGCTCAGCGAGCTAGCAAGCTGAAGTGGCAATGGTCCAGCCATAAAGCTCGAAGAACTGACAACGATGGGGACGAAAGGTTCTCGAGTGGCAGCCACGTACTGGTAGGCGAAGTGAAGAGCGGTCCTCCACTATATGGAGTGACGACCTGGTTACGACATGCAGGAAGTCGATGAATGCAAGTGGCTCATATCATGCATTTTGGGATTCCTTGGGGGAGGCCTTTGTTCATCAGGCTACTTACGAAGGGCTGTAATGATCATGACTGAATATTTGTTTTGAATGGCTCCCTCATACGCCCTTGTTTGTAAAAAATAAAACTTTTGAAATAAAAAAGCAGCGTGTATAATTATGCTTTTATTTTGCTTAAACTATTCAATCTTATACATTATTCGAGGCACACATTACTTAAATTAATTGATATATAATTGAAGGTATTAAACCCTCTTACAACGGACGGACGTTTATGAAGATATATGTATGATTACACTACGAAATAACTTATAATAATAAAATTAAATAGGGCCAAAAAGACATAAGATCAAAGAAACAAAATCAAAATGCATTGTACACTAATTTGATATGTATTAAAACAATATTAGCATAAACATGAAATACAAAACAAAAAATTCAAAATAATCTGCTAATTTGTAAACGATTTTACGTTTGCAATAATATAGCTTTTTGTAGATTATTTTAAGTCATCGAATTATCATGGCAACATTGCAGTACAGATAAAATATACACTAACAATCGGTTCTAAAATTCAGTCTTAAAATATGTCATTCCTTTTCTGTATGTAAAAAAAATAATAGAAAAATATAAAAAATGATAAACATGTCTTTAATACGTTCTTCATCTTCATAACATAAGTCAACTCTTAATGGGACGAAAAGAAGAATTATAAAAAATAACAACTAATTTCACAAAATAAACTAAAAATCTAAATAATTACATGCATTTATGAACTGTTTTAATTAATAATTACAGACAAAATAATGTTGCTAAAAAGATTTTAGATAGGAATATGATAAAAAGTGTATAATGATGACACATTTATTATAAATTTGAAATATAGCCTGACCCGAAAAATAGAAACCTTATTTTTTATTGTTTTATTAATGTATATAAATCAATAATCCTCTAGACAATATATGTAAGTATTTTTTATTTGGTTTAGGTAACTTTCCCTATGATTTTTGTCACCAAAAAAAAATTATGTCAAGTGTAAAAGCCGCTATGGAAATACAAGGAAGTGATATTTCGGCAATTCATTACCAACTAGTTTGTTACTAGTTTCTAAAGGAAAGGGAAAAGGAAAAATAATAAAATTAGTTTTGCGAATATAGGCTATGTGGGCGAATGTTTTATTTTTCTAATTAGGCTTTATGATATTGCAACATTGCATACGAACCTTACAATAAACTTTTTAGCTTCGAATCAGATCTAGTTAATATTGTAAGAAAGAGAGCACCTTTAAAATAAAAAATGTTCCGTGTTTTAGCTAAAATATAAATGTAAATGTATTTTTTATAGGTATGTCACAGTAGTAACATAAGAAAGAAAGAAAGCTAAACGAATATTTTAGTATCATATTCAATGGAATGCATAAAACTGGTATTGTTGGAACACATGGAAAATGGGAAGCGTAATTTTGAGACTACAAAGTTTCATTATATGATATGGGAATCTTATTAATATTATTTATACATTGTAAGTACATGTGTCTGATAATTGTAGCAAAACTTAAATTTCTTAGTTTTTAAATTCGCGATTCTAGGACAATTGCAAACTGTCTCCTAATACAATCATTAGGTTGGTATATTCATTCTTTATTACATTTCCTATTACAAAAATACTAAAGACGGTGTTAATGCCTATAGGCATTCTTGACAAGTTAAACCCATGGAATGTTGAGAATTTGACGTAGGTGTAGCAATATAGAAAAGAACTTGACATTATTTTAAAAATAGGAATATTTTGAAAAATTACTAGTAATGCTATAACATCACTAATATTTAAACAAGTGGGATACGGGAAGTAAAGACTGTGTAAGAACCTCCGAAGGAGGCGGAGTTATAACCGAAATAATAATTTTTAATCTTTTGGTTCTTGGCCATTTTGACCCCCTAGGAGTGTAATGAGAACTTTTTGCCCTTATTTAACCATGACCCGCATGACATCCTCTACATGATAGGATATTCAAACTAACTAAGGCGTAAAGTTCGAATCACCCCCCAACTCATTTCTAGTCTTTACTTCCAAATAAACCACTGCAAATACGCCTAAAATTCTTGCTACATGACAGTTATAGTCGAATGTCCTTTAGTCTACGAGCATTTTATAAATTTATTCTAGAAATATTTTAAGCTATGTTGGACAAATTATTTTCCCTATATTATTATAAATATTCAGTTCATATATTAATATTTACTATACAAACTACCTAGAAGTAACAGGCACTTCATTGCAATGCTTTGGACGGAATCAAGTTTATGCTGATCACATACGACAATAAGATATAGGGGTATTAAAATATATTTACGGTGAACACATACAAAACAGGCTAAATTTGCTAAATTAAAATATAACTTATATAATGTGACATAATATAATATGTTGAAGTATAACATGACATAGTTACTCGCAGTTATGTAAATAAAAATAAAATATTATTTATAACTATACCATCATTATACAGGTGAAATTTAAATCATTGTCATTCTTTTAAACTAAGAATATGTTCACAATATAAGCTACACGGATTAAATAACGCAATTCAAAATATTGCAAGTAAATTAACATCAAAAATCATAATTAACCATTTTTATATATATATTACAAATACCAATCAATCGTTAACTCTCAAACAACACTCTTCAAAGATTGTGACTTCTTAACGATGACGGCTTATTTTTAACTTTTTCCTGAGTCACATTACATATTTAATTGACCAAAAATGTTCCTCAATATGAATAGAATAATAGGTTCAATGTATGTCAATGGCTTCAATTTCCCCCTGTCTAAATTTGAGATTAATTAGAGTGTAATATAACATATTAAACAACACTCAATTTACCAACTGCTTATATGTAACTTTAAAAAAAAAGTTGTATGGAAACACCAGTATATGACGTCATAGTTTTTTGTATTTAATTAACATTTTATTTGTTTATTGTCAAAAATTAATAATCTAATTTAAAAACCTACCCGGTTATGATTGGAGACACTACTAAAAGTAGAGAATTAAAATGATGCGATATAGCAATTTCTTGATATTAACTACCCACTTGTTAATTATTTAAGTAATACAGAAGGCAAAATTTTAAAATATTCCTAAGCCATATTAACTTTTTTTGATATGTACGGAGTTTAAATTACAAGGAGACAGTAAATATTTACATTTTTATGATCTCCCTTTCTTCTCAATTTATCTGTTAGATACCGATTTGCAAATTCGAAACAATTGAACAGAATTGCAAACAATTTTAAACTGACTTCCCGATAAACTAGACTTGGAACTTTAAAGATAACTTTGAAATAGAAAGACGGGGAAAAAATTTGGTCGTCATTTTGGATTATATTCTATTTAACTGTATCAATTTTAATAGGTGAAAGTATTAATCTCATATCGCTGCGATATTAAGATATTGGCTTTTAATTTTCCCCACGCTCCCATTGGAGATAACGAAAGCTTAATATATGTAACCAAAAGAAAACTGGACCAAAAATTTTGACTTAAATATTGTCGAATTTATATTTCCATAAATATTAGATTCAATAAAATAAATGTGTTTAGCAAAATATATGGCGTCTATGTGCACTAAACATTTAAACTTACCGATCAAGAAAACAGCAGAAATGAGACGGACTCTGACTGTAGTACTCTCTCACTTCTACAATAACATGATCGGTTAGTTTTATAACGAAAATAATGGCTTTTAAAATTTAAAAACTCAAGTTCTTACACATGAAAAACCCCAAGTGACTTTTGATTTGTGACCTAAGTGATTGGCATATTTATAAAATGAGAAGGAATAAATTTCGATGACTGTTTAATGAATTTTAAGAATTTTTTTATTTTGAGAGCAGCATTCATGTATACAAGACAATAGCGCCGCAACTAAATTGTAGTGTATGTAATTTTCGTGTTCCACTTTTTAATGGATAAATACTTTCCCTTTCTTGTTTTAATCTATGGTATACAATTATTTTAATATAATTTACCAATTTCCTACAATTATCATTAAAGTTACACCCAAAAAGGCGTTAAAATTTAGTACATAACAATATGTCAGTTATTAATAATAAAAATCAGATCTTGAAATAGATGTATATAAAAACTTAAGGCTTGCTACCAATAATGTCGGAGGTAGCTAGTAGTACAAAAACTCTACTCAAGCATTACCTCAAAATGCACGACGCCTAACCTCTCCCTCCGGTCGTACTTGATATTCTTTGCCCATGCGCGGCACTCTATATTTATCACTATACCGGCTGAAACAAATGTTTTATATTAGGAGTTTCTTTTACAAAATAGACGTGACAAACGAGCACACAGTACACCTGATGGTAAATGGATGACGTGGCCCATAAGATATCTACATCTATCTTCAATTAAGATACAAAATGCAGATGCGTTGTCGTCCCTGAAGGCTAAGATGGAATGCCTCATTTCCAGTAAAAAGGTCACCGGTTCTCCACATTCACCATGCGAAAACCAGCAGCATTAAGCTTCAATTTTACACTGATATTCTGTGAGTGTGTTTGTTTAAGACACTCGTGTAAGACTATTTTGACTTTTATTTTTTACTCAAACCCAGCCCAGTAGAGGGACATACAAAGCCGTAATTTACCTTTACTCTAAAAGTATCTTAGATAACCTTCTTACTGGTAATGACCCTTTTTATTGGAAACAAAGCTTTCATTCTTAGTTCTCAAAGGCGAATACGCATCTACATTTTGATTCTTAATGGACAGTAAGTTGACTGTGTGCTTGTTTGTAACCCTTATAAAAAAATTATTCAGGCACTCATTGTTTAAAATGTCTTATAAAAATAAGATATATTTCATAGAGATACACATGAATACCTTTTATGTTTCACACACATAGCACCATACATCATCATCATCATCATCATCATCATCATCACTATAGCCCTTCACAAGTCCACTACTGAAGACCTCCTCAAAGCCACAAAACACTCATATGAACCACCTGCATCCATCGAGCTCTCATGGGTGTCTCATGTCATCCATTAGTGGTAGATAAAAAATGACTTTCAATAAGAATTATGTAATAATCGATATTGAATAAAAAAATATTCTATTCTATTCTATTCATGCATAATTAAAATAATATTAAAATTAGGAACCAATAGAGCCGGTTTCATCATAATATCACAAAAATCACACTTAGTTTTTTTAATAAAAGTACAAATGTCAATGAACTTTAATAAAAAGTAAAAACCTGAGCTGTGATGGTTCTGATAATTATTTTATTTTATCGTGGTGATCCTGATCAGGATACTAGAATAAAATTATTAAATTGTTATGCAAATTTTGAATTCAATGGACCGTTTACAAATTGATCAAAATTTCGTTAAAAGATTCCGTTACATAGATAGACTACACCCATTAAAAATTAATCTCCACCATTTTTGAAGTCAGTTATAAAACTTACTTTTCGGCATCTCTAAATGCACAGCTACCAGCGGACTCAGGTATCCCTCTGCATTCTCATACGGGAAGTAGTACCCTGGGAAACCTTGATAAGGCAAGTACTTTACTACTCCAATGTTCTCCTTATCGGCCGGGGTCTCACCTTGGCACGACACCCACACCGAGTTGGCCTGCAACAAATTGATCTTTAACCTTGTGTTCATTTTTCCGAAACTCTGATACAGCGGAAGCTTTGATAATGGAACAAAAACAAAGTATTTGTAAAGTATGTGGTCTAGTTATAATTATTCATGCACTATGCCATGCATATAGCTATTTTGTCTCGCAAAGACGGGCGAGCCTTACTCTGCTGCACCTAGCAACTATAACCATTAAAGCCTATATAAAGTCCACTGCTGAACCACAGCCTAAGAAGAACATACATTCAGTCATCGCGATTGATGTTGTCGGAAAAGCCGACATAAACAATAAATTGCTAGGGTTGTCAGAACGTGAAGTAATAAAAAATAAAAACTGATTTTATTTTATTTCACGTTTAAACAAATTCCTGTGTATGTGGAAACGGATGAAACTTTAGAAATTAGTTTTTAAAAAGTTACCTCGCGTACATTCGCTCGATAAAATAAAATGATGTCTTACCTAGTTTGAAGAGCACCTCCCGCCCTCCCTCAATTACGTGCACTATCACCGTCACCACTAATCCCAGCACCACTACTCCCAACCCTATTTTATCTAGCGGATGTACGCTAGGTAACTTTTTTAAAACTTTAATATACTGCATTTCCGCAAAGTAACGCTTGGTTCTATTAATTATAAGAAACTTTAATTCCTTATTTTTAAATGAGGACGACCCACAGTTTTTTACCGTACATGAAGTGTGAACCATTTTAATTTATTTGCGTGACAAAACAACCCTAGCGGAAAGTTCCCGAGCTACTAACAGCCGCTCGAGAACTTTCCGCTCCCGTCTCGCTCGTCTAGACGCCTTCGATGACCGACTGTTAGTAGTAGTTAGACGCTGCGTGTACGTGTTTGACATATTTGACAAGGTGCTTCGCAACCGCAGTTTTTTATTCAGCTGTTATATCAGGAAGATGCTGATTAAATCATATGTGGTAGAACCATGCTGCAGCTATATTAGTAGTATAGTTGTAGCACGAGTGGGTCGGCTCGACCGGGGAAGGACCACGCTCTCACAGAATACCAGCGTAAAATGGCAGCTTAACACTGCTGCGTTTCGTATGGTGAGTGTAGAGAACCGGAGACCTTTTTTTACTGGAAAGGAGGCATGCCATCTTAGTCCTCACGGGTGACAACGTATCTACATTTTAATTCGCCAACGAAGATAGATGTAGATGTCTATGGGCTACAGCAACCACTTACCATCAGGTGGACTGTGTGCTCGTTTCTCACCCTATCCTATAAAAGAAAATTGAAATGCAGCTTTCAACAACAACCACGAAAATCAGAAAAAGGTGCCGTGCATTTATCAGGCGTCAAGGTGGCTAATTCGAACAAATGTTGTAATTTAAATTAAAAATAAAATAACTTATAAGCGTTTTCTTAATCTTGACCCTAGCAAACAATCTCTTATTTAAACCACCTAATAATGAATGATTTCTTTAGTCTATAGCATATCGTTGGAAAGGGTAATAACTAAAAAACTTTTTAGAAGAAAGGTAAATTCAAAACAACTTTCAGTTTTTTTTAATGAACTTAGAAGTTGTCACTTTCCACAACATTTACGAATTTGAAAGCTCAGAACTATATTTTTAATGCGAATTGTATCAAATAATAATATATTGCAGAATACAGCACAAGTTATTTTGTAGTATTACAATCACAAACAAAAAATTTATGACGATTTAAAGGTAAAAACCTATTAAAGATCATATCTCAGCTACAGGGACACTTAGGACACAGGGTCTACCGAGGAAATGCAGCATATGACCCCCCCCCCCCCCTCCCAATCCCTCCAAAAAATCCTGTTGGTCCATACGCCAAACAGTCTGTATATATCCTTATGGGAAAACATTATGCTGCAAGTAACTATGAATTTTAATGATATATAGGTGATTAGCTTAAACATAAATACAGGGTTAACATAGTTTATTCACTAGAGAAAAATACTCTCGAGTTATATAACACATTTTATAACATTCAGTCTCCACATTACTGAAACATGTTATATAACTGTTTAAATATAAATATTTTATAACATGTTATGTTATATAATATGTACGCACCGTTACTATCCTTTCCGATAGTAAACACAAAGATGAGCTGACGATTTAATAAAAATAGCAGAAAAAAAAACTGGATAAATATCGCTTACAACAAACAGAGATGGATCATACAAAAACTTGAAACACAAATTTACTTTTTTACTTATCCTATTTTTACACATTAGACTAACACAAATTTGAAAAGTTTATTTAAAAAAAATTGTATGGTTAAATAAACTCATAAATAAACAAAAATAAAATATCCATGCCGTTTAACTGTCCATTAGACCAACAATAAGAGACACTATCTTATTCCATACTAGCTGTTCCCCGCGACTTCGCTCGCTTATTAGGGTTTTAATGGTTTTTTTTAACCCTAATTCTTTTTCTAAAATAAAAGTAGCCTAAGTTACTCCTTATGAAATCAGCTATCTGCCAGTGAAAGTCCCGTCAAAATCGGTCTATCCGTTTCGGAGATTAGCCGGAACAAACAGACAGACAGACAAAAATTTTAAAAATTATATTTTACTTATAAGTACCGTACTTAAATTCATATTCATTTAGTAAAAAACTTTAATTTTGACATTACAAACTGACACTTCAATTTTATTTATTTGTATAGATATATTATAAATATAGAGGTTTATTTTGCAATAACGCAAACGAAAGACGAAAGGAGACAGTTTCTTTTTGTATGGAGAATGGGCCCACCACACATTTTAGATAACCACAATGAAATGCATGTCGATTTATTTACTATAATCTATAGATTACAATAGTAATATTCGTTTTACCGTATCTAATGGGAATACTGAGTAATTAGCAAATATGTATCTTACTATAACCTAAAAATAAACTAAAAGCTATTTTCTATTAGTTTTCACCGGTATTATAAGTTAAAATAGTGCACTGTTCAATAAATAATAGTATAAAACAAAGTTGTAGTTACATTCAGCATTTATAGGTACTTTAAAATTGATGGAATATCTTTTTAGTAGTTCCGGCAAAATAATATAGTGCATGTCTGTGCATGAATATGGTATGGATACTATTTTTTACAGGTATTGTTAGAAAAGGCCTATGATAGAGTGGTGAGGAATGAATCGTGGTCAGGACTGTCCGTGAACGGTGTGAGCAGTATCCTCATACGAGCAATGCAATCTCTTTATAGGGATTCTAGTGCTTGTGTAAGGATAAACGGGACATTGACACTGAATGGTTTAATATCGAAAAAGGTGTTAGACAGGGATGTGTAGCGTCACCGTGGCTGTTTAATCTGTTCATGGACAATTGTTTGACAGATTTAAAAGAGAATGAAAGTGGGTTGAGAATGAATGAGTTACTCGTCAAATGTTTTCTACCTAGTAATACCAAGTATTACTTGCGTCTTCGGCCGAGGAGTTGCAGGAGATGGTAACTGCTATGAGTTTGAGAGCTTTTGTTAGAAAGGGAATGAAGATGAATGTAAGGAAGACGAAAGTGATGGTGTTTGAAAAAGATGAGGCAGTGACAGACTGCAATATTGTGATTGAAGATGAACAAATTGAACAGGTGAAAGAGTTTGTGTATCTGGGTTCAAAGTTTACAAGAGATGGAAAGTGTGAGAGTGATATCGAAAGAAGAGTGAATGCAGGAAACATGGTGAATGGAGCTTTGCACTCCTTTATGAGCAGTCGGAAGGTGTCTAACAAGGCTCGTTTGGCTGTGCATGAGGGGGAGTTGGTTCCGACACTCATGTAGGGAAGTGAAACTTGGGTATGGCAGATGAAACATGAAAGCAGAATAAATGCAGTTGAGATGAGAGCATTAAGCAGTATAATAGGAGTTAAACTGAGTGACAGGATAAGAAATAGTGAGATAAGGAAACGTTGTGGTCTGAAAGAAGATGTAGTGACAAAAATTGAGAATGGTATGCTGAGATGGTTTGGCCATGTCGACAGAATTAATGAAGAACGATTGACGAAAAAAGTGTATAAGGCGAGTGTGAATGAAAGTGTTGGAAGGGGTAGACCTAGGCGGACATTTCTAGATCAAATCAGGGACGTCTTGAAAAAGGCCAGGTCAAGAGTACCCTTAACCGTAGAGCATGTATGAAGGGAATAATGAAAGTGGATGAAGCAAAACAAGTATATAAGGATCGTAGCAAGTGGAAAGAACTGGTCTCTGCCTACCCCTACGGGAAAGAGGCGTGATTATATGTATGTATGTATGTATGTATGTATTGTTAGTGAGTATACATCCCAAATACTGTTTAAGTAATATGATTAAAGCCAAGATGAGTCAGGGATAATATGTACATTTATAATATTACCTACACACGCTATATAGTAAGAAAGATGTTTTGAACTGGTTGTATAAGGATAAAAACACAAGTTATAATGCATCTACATTTATCATAGTAAATCATAATTTCCAAAGTAGTCTATTAACAGTAGAACAAATAGACAGGTACGGTGTCAAAACTTTGTTTGAAAATATATTAACTGATTAGGTTAGGTTAGATACCTCAAACATTTTTATCTGTAATTACACACTGATAAATAGTGAGGAAGTAAGATTTTTTAAGTCTTTATGGAAGGATAATAAAACACATGTATAATTTAATTGTATTTGTTATTGTAAATCATTTCAAAATATTTTTTCTAAATAACTTGATGGTAACATGTCCATATATGATATTGTCAGAAATTTGAAAAACATTTTCAATGATATGATAGAAGACTGTTGTCTTCAATATCCATACTCTTTTTTGTCTCTGCCTACGGGCAGCTCTGCAAGCATTTAGCCTGCAAATCATACATATATGTTCTCAGCGATTGACCTCAAAAAGTTAATTATTGTAAAGAGTGCCTACACTAATTATTAATTCTTATCAATATATTATTTTATCTATATTTATTTAATTCTATGTAGCTTGTGGAGACTATGTTTATATATGAATTGCA